TATTAAACTTTCAAACTTTAGTATAGTCACTAAACTTTGTCAATCATTTATAGATCTTTAAATATATTACAATTTATATTTGGGCTTCAAAGAACATTTGTTAATCTTATATAAAAGGTCATTTTTTGTCAAAGCAGAATATATACAGGAATATATATATGTGTAAAATGTGTGCCACCTTACCTCCATCCCCATCGTCTGATCCTCTAAAACTAGGATCTTTTAACATGTCCAGCTCAGCTAACATGCGCACATAGAGTGCATTCTGTCTGAAGGAAGGATAAAATCTCTCATCTCGTAGCATCAATTCATATACCTTGTTGAAATATATCAAGATATGCAATAATTAATACAGGTATGTGGTCATTTTTACTAAATAATATTTCACCAAAAGTTACTTTGAGGTCTTGCCATAACATATCATAGTTAAAAGATGTCAGCAGTAAGACCATTTCACAACTAATAATTTCTTCTAGTTCAGTAACTAAATTAAACTAAAAAGGTCCTACTACAACATAAGTCACATGATAGCAGGTTAGATATAATGTTCTAGGAAGTAGTGTTTTCTAGAAACAAGTACACATAAAGGCTCAAGGCTCATATTAAAATGAATTTGAGAGTCTTATTATTTATACATCATCAATTCATCAAATTCTAAGACTAGAATATTTGGCTCTACAGTCAGATTCAAATAAAACAACCCAACTTAAGGATTTTCCTCATTGGTCAATTAACAAAATAAACAAAAAAAGTTGTGATGCATTTTTGGATTTGAGAGTTATTACTGCCATACCTTACCTTTTAGTTACCACTCTACTTTTTTTAAAGTTTCAGTAACTTTTAAAAAAACTAATGACATGCATATAGAAATACATTTTTTTTCAAGAAAGAAAAAAATGATAAATGCTGTACATAATACCTTTCTCTGAATATCATCAAAGATTTCAGGGGTTGGATCTTCATGATTCAAAGTATCTGCTAATTTTGCTACTAAATAGTCATCGACAGTAACTCTTGGGGATGCCTAACAAACAGAGAAAAGTAATAGTAATGATCTTCGTAATTTCTAAATACAAGTTAATACTTGATAGTAAAATAATGGAATCATATTATTCAAAATAATTGGCAGATAAGAATCATTTGTTTGTAAATGACACCTTGCTGTTTAAGAAGGCTGAAACAGGGCTAGAACCTTCTCTTCATCATGTACTATGTAGAAAACTAGTAGACAAACATCGATTTAAATCTTGACCTTTGCAGAGCAAGTTACCTCCCACTTAGCCTCATTTATTCCATCTGTAAAATGGAATACTATATAAGGTTAATATTACTGTAAGGATTAAAAGAGATCTATGTAAGACATACAGTCTTACATAGAGACAAAAGAGATCTATGTAACCACAGTGTCTTGCTCATAGGAAACATTGTCTAGGACTTAATTAGTGGAGTCACCTTGCAACCATCCTGAATTATAAGGCTTTCTGCAGACATTTGAAAAATGGCAACAAATGAAAGTGTCAGCATCTTTGGCATCTTTGGCTGTAGAGTATGTAGATTTGCTTTTACCTAAGAATCCTCTGCAAAAACCATTCAAAAATGCCTAGAACAATATATTGAATAATTATACAGAGTTCCAGATTGCAACACTGGGATCCCTTATAGTTTATGATGCCCTTCATTTCTTGTTCTGGTTACCTGGATTTTTATTTCAATCTATACCTTACATGAAAAAAGTACAAAATTCAAAAGGATAAACCAAAAACATAGAAAACCAATGGAAATGCTTTAAAGTACTTCTCTTTAATCACTTTTATATCCAGTTGCCTTTGCTTTTTAGAACCTATAATTCTACAGAGCATTTCAATATTCCTTATGATTGGAAAAGAATGCCAAGATGATATATGCTTTTGGCAAGATGCTTTGGCTGTGCAGTCATTGAGGATACTTGGCACTATTTCTAGCATAGACTCTTCTTATACCACAAAAGAATATATATTTATAAAATTTATCATGAGTTTCAGGCTCTGTTTGGAATGAAAACTGAATATGCACATCTTTTGGAAACTAATTCTTGGAACTGGATTTTTCATTGGAATCATAATTTTGTGTGATCATGTACTTCTTCTTTGGACACGGGTGATCATTCGTTTGACAGAAACTATTTATGTCATACATAATGGTTATAACCCTTTAAATCTCATCCCTCTCTACCATGGTTCTCTGCATCGTATTTCCACCACATGAACTTTACCAGACACTGTGCTTCAACGTAGTGGGATAGAATTATTGGAACAGACTTCTGATTTAATGCCTATAATGAAAAGATGAAGAAGTTTGAGAAAAAGACTAAATACATATCTCATGTAAACTTTCCTGAAGGTATATATTGTCTTGAATTGAAACTAGTAGCTAACACTGCTTCTGAAGCACAGAAATAAGCATGTGTCTTGGCTGCTAAGTGATAAAAAGAACATTAACAATCTTTAATTATCTTCCTAGTGGGAACTTTTTCACTTTACACATAAGTTCTGTACATGCAGAAATAAATAAATATATATTTAAGTTCAATTTTCATAAGGAAGTATTAAAAGCCAGGTTGCTAAGCTTACAAAAAGATATTAAGTAATGGAAGAAGTATTAATCTATGTCTTTCCCCCCAGTAATAGGCCTAAAGTTGACATTAGTCTTTAGATCTTTTAGATATACATTGGTCATTTCAGAAATTCTTAACAGTGGTATTTGGCCTTATATTTAACTTTAAACATTTTTTAGAATTTGCCTAAAAATCAAAATATTGTAAGTTGAATGACATCAACTGATACAGTGGGTGACTAAAACTGCTGAAGCAGGAATAGCCAGCATTAAGAACTTCCACTCTTGTCTGGAGCTGCGCAGTTTGGGGTAATTCTCTCTTTCTTCGAAGAGTCCTTATCACCTGTAATGTACTAGTGGCATCTATAAATTAAAGCATTTCCGGATTGATATACGTGAAATATTTTAGTCTAAAGGTTTTTCAAGTTATTTGAATTTTTTTAAAAATTAAGGAGCTTTATTTCTGCTATTTACTCTTTCATTTTTATATAACAAGTATTCATAGTACTTAAAGCTGTACCTTAAAACTTTGTGAACTAACTTGCTGTATTTGCACTTGGAGCTATTAAAATGTCATTTTTGTCCACTTAAAAAAAAATGAGTTAGTATTTAGTATTCAGTAGTACTAGATATGTATTAATATTATTGTCAAAATAAGCCATTTGATTTATCATTTTGCACTACAGAATCCTCTTGAGTAGTCTTTAAAAGAGACTACTGTTATCCCAAATTTGGTGTTATAGCCAATGCTGTAACAAAGTTCTAGTATGACATGGGAGGAAAAAAATCTGAAAATTTGTTCTAAGACTTTCCATTTCAAAGCACATAATGTGACACATACTATACAGAAATATAAAGTCTGACCTTTCAATTTCAAAAATTACTTCATTGAAAGAAAAAAATGCTGAAAAGCCCAGGCATGTCAAAAGCTTTGGCATGTCAAGTTTTGAATTTTTAGTTCTGGAGCTGGGGTGGGGAACCTGTGGGCTTGAGGCAAAATGTGGCCTTCTATGTTTTTAAGTGCAGCCTTTTGACTGAATCCAAATTTTACAGAACAAATCCTTCTATTAAAAGGGGTGCAGCAGAGAAAAATGAAGCTTTTCTTGCCTCCTTTGGTACTTAAAAAAGAAGAATCTTGAAATCAGAAGGCTGCCAGTTCCCCACTCCTGCATGGCAACTTTTAGAGAAACTAACAAAGAATGTATTATTTAAATAATTTTTCTATTTACATCCAATAAAATACCCAAAAAGCAGATTGGATAAATCAAGAAAGGAGAAAAAGAAGTAAACAGCAAGGTATAAATGCATAGGAAAAGGGTTATACAATTTCTAATGCTTCATTGTCAATTAAACACTATGGAGAGTACACCTGAGCAGGTTGTGTGGCGGTGCTGGTTGTTTTTTGGAGAGGTGCTTATTTGTTGCATGTTTGTGAGTGTTGAGGGGGTGTCCCTTGAAATAGAAACAGGAGAACTAAACAACTTCAAGTATGCCACAAAGATTAGAGAGGAATACGTTAGTTGGTTTTGCCCTTTCATTTGCCCTCTAAGCTCACTAACTTAGTTTTCTAGGAAACAAAGAGGCAAGCTTGAAAATAATATTTTATAGTTGTTTCCTTTAATTATATTCTTCCTATAAATCTCAAGTACACAGAATTGGAT